CGGTCCCTTCGGCGGTCCTTATCTGGGCACCTTGGGGACGCCTCCATCCCCACCACCCCACCCCACCCCACCCCCGCCGCCTCTGGCCGTGCCGGGTGGGTGTCCTTTGGGCCCGGTGTTCCTGTCCCCAAGTAACTTGGAGCCACCGTGGCAGTCACCGACTGGGGTTACCAGTTAACAGGCTCCGCGAGCCAGGCTAATAAAGAAGGGGACACACCCCCACCCTCCGGGGCTACCGATCCCGCGGGGCCACGCGAAGATCCTTTACGGGGCAAGGCCGAGTGAATGGCCTGCTAACAGTGCACCCTCCTGCCTGCCTCCCCCCACCCCACCCCACGCCACCCCGCGGTAATTGCGGGAGCGTAACGTTACCCCAGGGCTTGGGCTGGTGGAGGAGAAAGATGAGGGGCCTGAGTGGAGTGCATCGTGCAAGACAGGAAAAAAAAAAAATGCCCTCGGCCAACCGGCGCCACTGCGGGTCCTTTAGGCAGAAGCTGAACATTGTGGTACAGTAGTGGAAGGTGTCAAGTAGATGGATCAACTGAAGATCTTAGGAGAGCAAAGTAAAATACTTCGATTTCCCTCGCCGCGAGGAGCCATTGAGCATTTTGAACAGCAGCCTCGTATACCCAGCGAGTTTCTGGACAGCGAGGGCTACATAGTGAGACTCTGTCCTTTTTTTCTTTTCCCTTTCTTTCTTTTTTTTTGAGGGGGAGGCGGAGTCAAGATTAGAAGCGAAGAGTGTTTATTCTGGTCGTGTAATTGTTTAAAATTTCAACTTACCTCTGTGTGCTTGTTCATCTTTTAAGTGGATTTAGAAATTCCACCGTCGTAGTGTTGAGCAAGGATGAAATGGGTTAATAAGAACAGTCGCTGGCCGAATAGCAAAGCAATGGAGGACTGTTGCTTGATGAGCACCTGACAGGTGCAATCTGTTATTTTTTGGGCATGGTGCTAAATCCTGGAAACTGTTGGTGGTCAGGGAACTCGTCAGTTGAAAAAGCAGGTCTGTCAGTGGTCGTGCGGTAGTTAAATGCAAAGGTGGGATTATGCCCAAGTGCAGCCAAAGGAAGGTGGGGTGTACCTGCACGACTCCAAAAGGGGGTATTACTAGATCGGTAGCAAATTTAGTGGGAGGAATTGGGTCTGCAAAAGTGGGAAGAACCGTGGATAGCATGGAGATTGGACCCACTGTTTGGAATCACCTATGACCCCGTGTTTCTGGTGTGTAAAGTCAAGGAGGGAATAGTAGATATGAGAACCTCAAAGGCTCCCGTTGATAATCCTTGTTCAGAAAAGGAAGAGCTGGAAGTCAACAGTCAGTCCTAGGTTATTAATAGAGTTGGTGTTGTGATTACCTTGATAGTGTAAAAATGCTTTTTCCAAATTTTACTCTTTTCTTTTTTTGTCTTATGTATGTGGCATATATTAGGACATTTTACTCCTAAAATTAAGTATCTCCTATGAATAGGAATATTCTCTTACAGAATTACAGTACATTTTTAAATTTTAGTGAATGGAGGTTTGATGCCTATAGACTATAATAATCTACAGTTAACATTCCATTTATCTCTTGGATCTAGTAATGTCCCTTAAAATATGCCTTGCTCTTCCCAGTACAGGAGCCAGTTCAGTTAGAGCTGCATTTAAACTGGATCCTCTTCATTGCTACTTCTCAATTTTGTTGTTTCTTCTTTTCATCACATTGTTCCAGCAATTAATTACTTGAAAAGCCCAGGCTGATCTTAAACTTGCAGTGTAGCCAAGAATGACTTTGAACTTCTCATCTTCCTGTTTCTGTCTCCCAAGTTTACAAGTGTGCCCCACCAGGCCTGGTTTACAGGTTTTGGGGGTTGTTTTGTTTTAAGGAAATTTTCTTTTTTTATCCCTGCCCCTCCTGCTTTTTTTTTTTTTTTTAAAGACAAGGTCTTGCTGTGTAGCACTACACATGACTTAACATTGTCTTTTTAGATAGAAGTTAAGCAAATGATTTGGGATATTTTAATATAGGCATTTTCAGGAATAAATTTTCTCCTTAGCTCCCACAGGTTTCTTTGCATCTTGTAAGTTTTTGATGTCTTCATTTTTCTTAAAATGTTTTCTAGATTTTTTTTTATTTGATAACATCTGAACATTACATGTAGGAGAACAGAGAATCCCTTAAATCAGTCTAGTTACCCCTTACATGGCTTAAAATGGTTTAATGTAATCATGAAATTAATGTGTTTATATAATAAATAAAAATAATGAACCTTACTGAGTAGTTTTATTTTGTTTTTAGGGAGAATAGGACAACTATTTCTAATAGAAAAAGTCAGTGGTCTTAGAATTTCATATTTAAAGTGAGGATGCTTTAGATAACATTGTTGCTAGCTTTAATATATGGTATTTTTAAAGAGCTATAAAATCCTATACTGCCTCATAACATTCTTATTTTGTTTTATAAATTGCTTAATAAGTACTAACATTTATAAATGTGTACATTAAACTTATTCTGTAATTAAGTGATGAACATTATTTATATTTGATTTTAATAGGTAGCTACATCAAGCTGGGTGGCAGGCAGATCCAAAGGGATATCATGAAGTTTCCAGGACCTTTGGAAAACCAGAGATTGTCTTTCCTATTGGAAAGGGCAATCTCCAGGGAAGCCCAGATGTGGAAGGTCAATGTGCCGAAAATGCCTACAAATCAGGTAATTTCTCCCTAGAGACAGATGTTTTATTAGAAGTGCACTATTGGCATAATGTATATCCTGATGCTACATTGGGAATATTTGTATTATTAAACGTGTTCTCAGCTGGGTGTGATGATGCATACTTGTAATCCTAGCACTTAAGAGGAGTTCAAGGCCAGTGTTAGTTGGAGGCTCTCCTGAGCTACACAAGACCTTGTCTCAAAAAACCAAGCAAAAAACATTCTTTAAGAAAGTCATCTTTCGGAACAAAGCAAGATAAAACTTGTTTTACTTGAGTTACAGGAAATTACTTCCATTCATTTTCCTTATAGACTAATTTAGTAGTAAGCTTTTATTTCTAAGAGGGAACATCTTCATACTATTATATTTAGGGAACAACATAAGGAGTTCAAGTGAGTTAGTTACTAAGGTAATAGCTGTGTTGCAAGTCTTTTGAGAGTTAGTTAGCTGAACTCTTTGCTATTGGCTGTACACTTTTTCCTTTAGACATTTTCATACTTTAATCATATTCTGGTAGTTAACATTTTTATAAGTTAACTAAAAGTGCATCCACTCCAATAGTTTACAATGTAAAACTTGTACCTCTTTTTATCCCTAGTACCTAACAAGGTGCTTGGAGTGTAGAAGAGTGGCCAAGAAATTTTTAATAAGTACCAGTGATCAAATGGCAATGCTATTTTAGGTTTTCTTTAGCTCTATAGGCTTTTGAAGTCTGTGTTTTCTGATTCTACTCTTGACTTCCTACAAGCTGAAGAAATGTGTTTTGTATTTACTATTTGTCAGTTTGCATGTTGAAGACTAGTTGACTTTGAATAAGTACTGTCTGTAGTAGGAACACTTAGCATGATCATTTAGTATTAAATTACTTTGATTCTCTTAAGATGGGTGTAGTCCTGTGATAACTCAAGACTTAATAATCAATAACAGTTATAATTTGAATCTACTTGAGGCAATGCAATCTCTTCTTATACTCTTTCGTTCTATTTTTGTATGAATGTATGGTTTAGATTTTTTGTAAGTGCTTATTGAGTATTTGCTATTCCGGGTACAACTCTACACATTGGAGATAGCAGAGGAGAAAACTGAATTTTTTGACTGTGTTGGGACTCAAAGCCTCCCAACAGAGTTCTAAGAAGAGCTCTGTCTTTCCCCTTTCTCCTGCCATCCCCTTAAGTCAGTGTGTAGCTAACAGTAGTAACCATAGGCAGCATAGCTGTGAAGGTGGTACTTTACGGCGCTGCGGTAAATTGCTGGATTACCGTGTTACCTGGTCTGTTCTGTAGCCAAGCTAACAAGTGTCATTGAGGTAATGGCAGAGAACAAGACAGGATCGAAACTTGTAAGGTGGACCTACTTCTTCTTTTTCCTTTTTTGAAACAACTTTTTAAACAGGATAACTACAACATAATTTAAAATATTTGTAATCTGGTCACAAAAAGATCAAGTATGGTGTGGCTTATAGATTTATACAACTAAAGCATTCATCAAATCTTACACTAATGTATAGGTTCCAAATTGAATAGTCATGAGTTACATTAATGGATCTCTTCCCTTTTAACATTTCTGTATTATCTCTGATATTGATTCCCTTTTCAAATAGAATCTTACAAACTAAAGGATGTTTAATTTGTTAAAGGATGAATAAAATTCTCCAGCCAAGTGGTTTTAGTTTACAGAAAATTCTAGGACCTGTGAGGTGAAATACTAACACTTATTATTTATGTGTGTGGATGCCACAGTGTTTATGTGGGATCCAACACAGTTTGCGAGATCTGAGATCTGAGCTGCAAAGGCCTCTACCTACTAAGCCATACTGCTGGCCCTGACACCAGATGCATTCCTAGTAAATTTTGCAAACATTGATCTGAATGCTACAGATAATCCTTGAGACCAAACCCTTAACTAGTTACTCTTAACACCAAGCTTGCTGATGTGTGATGGACTTCCCCTGGGGAGACGCAACACAGATATAAGTCTGCTTCTCCCAGATAGTCCACAATAGACCCAAGTATGGATACCACTAAAGTCCAAACTTGGTGAACTGAGGTTACTTACAGGATTACAAGACTCAGACAGCTATACCAAGGCCCACCCCTGCATGGGTAACAACTCCAGTTGAAAATCTGGCATACACTGCACAGCTTTGAGGCAGCTTAACAGGATGAAGAGTGTCCTTTCCAGGTGGATCAGTGGCCCTGAACCTTTTCCAGGCAGCTCTAACACACGTCACTAGAACACCTATATTTTAGATACCAAATGGGTTATTTTTACAAAAGGAGTTGGTAACAAATTCCTTCATATAACACTACAGTTCCCTAGAAACAAACCTCAATATACAAGGTTTTTTGTTTTGAAAGCAGCAGCTCCAGAAAACAGGAAATAACTTGTTACTTTCCTATGCCTTTGTGTCAGTTTGAAAACACTAGAGGCGGCATGAGGTGTTGCATATATTGTCCAAGAACTTGATTTATTAATTTTAACTTCAGATTTTCTTCCCTGATTGCATTTGTTCCTGTAGAAAGATCTTCAAGTGTGTATTGGAATTCCAACGCTGGCATGTTCTTTTTCCTTCTGTTCTGCCTGGTTTTTAGCATCAACTTGACATCAGCATTCATTATTTTGGGTAACAAACTTAAGCCTTGAATACAAAATCCTTTAAGGTCTCCTGGTTAAGGCACCCAGAGTGGGTGAATCGTCAGGCCTCCAGTCAGGACGCCTGGACCAGATGATGCAGGCATTTCTGCTCTTCTTGCACACTGATAATGCACTGAGATCAGAGGGCCTATGAACGATCCACATGAGATACTGACAACCACGCTATTCAAACCAATTAAAAGTCTGACCTTTTTATTGATGGCTGCACCAAGAGCAGGCTTGTGCTTCTGAAAAGCCTCTTGAAGCCCCACCAAGCTCAGGGGTACAGAGTTTTTAAAGACAAAACCCACGAAGACCATAATTTACATCAAAGTTGGATGAGGGTCAGAGTAACCTAGAATGCTCATTACTGGCATAGCACAGTCATTATTTTAGATATAACATGCCAGTTATTTTTGACATATATTTTCTAGTAATTTTAGTCTAATTATTTTGGTTAATACATTTGGACCATGGTCAAGGCCATGGAAATCTCATGTGTGTTGCCAAGACAGATGTGACTGTTGGGAGGAGAGGGATGGGCAGAGGGCTGAGAACTGTCCAAGCAATCACAAAATGGAGTCAGAACAGCTGGGCATTAGTCAAGGCATTTCATCTGTTTAAGGACTTGCTTTAATGCCAAGTAATTCTACATAATACATTAAACTTAGTGGGCTTGGTCTGATGGGAATAGGAGAGGATATGGGTTTAGGCTTAAAAGAACAGTTCTAATTCCTGGTCAGTGACCTGGTCAGGACTGGCCTTTCTACTGTTACACATCTTTAAGTGCTGGTAAAAAGAGAAAAGTGCAGTATTTTAGGGCTTCCCTTTATGCTGCTTGCTTCTGCTTTCTTTTACTTCCTGTGCTTGTCCCCTGCAAGTGCAGGGCCATTCTCACAGTTTTTTCATTTTAGCCCCCGCCCTCAATGTCCACCAAAATGTAGCCAGGCAAACAATCCTCCTGTTGCACCAGTGACTCCCTCCGGACCCCCACAGAACCCTGTACTTGTCTTGTGATAACACTATCATTTCCTGGTGATTTGACTCCCTTTCCTTGGTGGTGATGTTGTGTCATTGTTTTCTGACATACTGTAGTATTGTTACTTTCTGATGATGTTTGGAGTTGGGGTCTCATGCAGCCTAGGGTGGCCTCAGATTCGCTTTGCAGATAAATGCTAGACTTGAACTCCTGATTATTCTATGTCTACCAGTGAGTGCTGGGGTTTCAGGTGTGTGTTAGCACACCCAGTTAAACTTTTAAATGAATGGTTATGGCTTCTTTATAATTTATTCAAGTAGTCTATTGTGTGTTCTTGGTACTTACAGAAAAGTTCTTCTATAGAATAGTTGAAGTTTTTTATAGTTGCATAAATGAATTTAGGGAAAAATTGAAAACAGCGACACTTTGAGATCGTCTACATTTATTTTGCTAAAGTGCTTTCGATTACAAAGAAAGTCCTGACACAAACTTTTTTCTTTTTCTTTTTCTTTTCTTTTTGTGTTTTTGAGACAGGGTTTCTCTGTGTAGTTTTGATGCTTGTCCTGGAGCTCACTCTGTAGACCAGGCTGTCCTCGAACTCACAGAGATCTACCTGGCTCTGGCTTCCGAGTGCTGGGATTAAAGGCGTGCGCCATAGCCGCCCGGCCCTGTCACAAACTTTAAAGTGGTTTTGTTAGGCCATCTGATTATATGGTTTCAGAAACAGGATTCATGCTAAGGACAGTTGAAACACAGGTGTGCACGAACCACTTGGAGACTAGATGGATCAGAATTACCTGAAATTTCTTAAAAATTGGCATTTTCAGCTGGGTGTGGTGGCTCACACCTGTAGTCTCAGTGCTGGTGTGGCAGAGGCAGGAGAATCCCTGGAGTTCAGTGGCCAGCCAGCCTAATTATGAGCTCCAGGTCAGTGGGGAACTGTGTTTTGAAGGAGATGCACAGCATCCACATCCTTAACATCTGTGGTTGTCCTCTGGCCTCCACATGCACACATCTGGATACACACACCAGCATATGCTCCCAGACACATGATCATGCACACTCATGTACACAGAGATAATGCCCTGGCCACTTAGTGGTTCTGGTTCCATCCATGTAAGTAATGTAGAGTAAATCTGTATTTTATTTATTTATTTTTTTTTAAGATTTATTTATTTATTATGTATACAGAAGAGGGTGCCAGATCTCATTACAAATTGTTGTGAGCCACCATGTGGGAACTGGGAATTGAACTCAGGACCTCTGGAAGAACAGTTGGTGCTCCTAACCTCTGAGCCATCTCTCCAGCCCCATAAATCTGTATTTTAAATGATGGTCCTTTCCATACCTAAGCTAGATTTTATTTCCACAATGTCATCTTTTT